AAATAGTCTCTTTTGGTTTAAAGAGGAATCAAGCCAAACAAGATCAAATCAAGTCATCTTGAAAGCTAAGAGAAAGAGAGGAAGAGAGAGAGAGAGAGTAATGGAGAGAAGGAAATATAGATTTTCTTGTAAACATCGAGGCGCTTGACGGTGTAATTCCTCGAAGAAATAAATCCTCTGCAGTTCCGTGGACGTAGGCAAATTTGCCGAACCACGTAAATCTGTGCGTCGCTCTGGTGTTTTTTTTCTGCGTGCAATTTTACTCGTTCCAATTTTTCGCTTTATTGTCGTAGTTTTTCATAATAACTGGTATCAAAGCCTTGGGTTCAGATCTAAGAAAGAACGATGGACGGAGACGAAGTGATGACATCGAAGATTGAGAATTTCAATGACACAAATTTTTCTTACTGGAGGATGCAAATAGAGAACTACTTCTATGGGAAGAAACTTCATCTTCCGTTACTGGGAAAACGACTAGAAAAGATAGACGAGGCGAAATGGAATATGTTGGATCAAAAGGTTCTGGGGGTTATACGATTAACCCTGTCGAGATCGGTTGCCCACAACATCATCAAGGAGAGGACTACTGCAGATCTCATGACGGATTTATCAGGTATGTATGAAAAGCCAACGACGAATAATAAAGTGTATTTTATGAAAAAATTATTCAACTTGAAGATGGTGAAATGTGTCTCTGTTGCTCAACACCTGAATGATTTCAATACTATCACAAATCAATTATCGTCTGTTGAAATTGATTTTGATGATGAGATACGTGCACTGATATTGTTGGCTTCATTGCTAAATAGCTGAGAATCCATGAGGATGACAATTAACAGTTCTGCAGGTAAATCTAAGCTGAAATATGATAATATTCGTGATTTGATTTTGGCTGAGGAGGTGCGCAGGAAGGATTATGGCGAGACCTCATGTTAAAGTTCGGCGCTGAATGTTGATTCCAGAGGGAGATCGCATGACAGGAACTCAAACATATGCAGATCAAAATCACAGTCTGGTCAGCAGACAACTTGTTGGAATTGTGGCAAGACTAACCACATAAAAAAAAACTGCATGAATCCTAAGAAGAAGAAAAATGATTACGCTAATGTTGTAACTAAAAAAATACATGATGCATTATTGTTGGCAGTTCATAGTTCTGATGATAACTGGATGCTGGATTCAGGGGCTTCCTTCCATACATCTTCCCGCCGGGAGTTAATGCAAAATTATGTTGCAGGTAACTTTGGGAAGGTACATCTGACTGATGAAAAACTCTTGACGTGGTGGGGATGGGAGATGTTGATATTGCATTCCCTAATAAGAGCAAATGAACATTACAAAAGGTCATACACATTCTTGAGTTGAAGAAAACCTCATCTCTGTTGGGCAACTCAATGAGAGTGGTCATTCAGTTGTGTTCTCAGATAGCACCTGGAAGGTTACTAAAAGAGCACTATTACTCGCTTGTGTAATGTCTCGGGGTAAGAAAACTGACACACTATATATGACAACAGGTTTACTCAGGCTTGGTCATAAGTCAGAGGGACAGGAGTCAGATGTGCATTATAGGGAAGTAGAAAAAGGTCTATTTCCTGAAAAGTGGCAGGGCGCCAAAGGTAGGAAAACCAGACCTTGTACAGACAAATGGTGGAGAAATACAGAGTTATGAAGAAATCTTGCAAGATAAGAATTCGAGCAAGTATAAGTTGCAAGATAAGAATTCGAGCAAGTGAGAGCTGACCAAGGAGGAGACGAATTCTCTGCCAGGGAATCAAACTGGGAGCTGACAGAACTTCCACCAAGGAAGAAGACATTGCACAACAAGTGGGTGTGCCCGGTGAAGACTGTGTTTGGTGGCAGTAAAATGTACAAGATTGAATTTGTTGAAAAAGGACTTTTAGCAGGGTCATGATATTGCTCATGCAGTGAGAGTTATAAGCAGATACAAAAGTAACTCAAGAAAGAGCTTGGTGGTACGAGGCTACGTTGACGGGGATATGTCAACTGAAAGTGTTACTCGTGAGAAGCTGAAGTTGTGCTCAACTTCAGTTGGTCTTCTGGCATGAAGACAGGGGCTTCGAGTTGCAGAGGTAGAGGATATTATGTTTGAGGAAAAGATCGATACAACTAGTAGATGATGCAGCCAGTAGGTGATGCATTTAGTGTCCCAGTCTTCAAGTGGGAGAATTGTTGGGTAATATGGAGACCCGGTCCACCGAATTTAATTAGTTTCTTAATTAAGTATCCCACCTACCCGCTCTCCTAGCTTTCACCTTCCGCTCCCATGGTTTCCATAAATAGTCTGTTTTGATTTAAAGGAAATGCAAGCCAAACAAGACCAAACCAAGTCATCTTGAGAGCTAAGAGAAAGAGAGGAAGAGAGAGAGAGAGGAAGAGAGAAGAAATTAGAGATTTTCTTGTAAACGTCGAGGCGTTCGACGGTGTAATTGCTCGAAGAAATAAATCCTTTGCAGCTCCGTGGACGTAAGCAAATTTGTCGAACAACGTAAATCTGTGTGTCGCTCTGGTATTTTTTTTATGCGTGCAATTTTACTCGTTCCAATTTTTCGCTTTATTGCCGTCATTTTTTATAACACAACTCCTGTTTAGTTCAGCAGTATACCCATGGAGGGTTAGACTGATATGGATGAATACTCGCAAATGGGGAAACCTTCAAGTGGGAGAATTGTTGGGTAATATGGAGACCCGGTCCACCGAATTTAATTAGTTTCTTAATTAAGTATCCCACCTACCGCTCACCTAGCTCTCACCTACCGCTCTCATGGTTTCCATAAATAGTCTGTTTTGATTTAAAGGAAATGCAAGCCAAACAAGACCAAACCAAGTCATCTTGAGAGCTAAGAGAAAGAGAGGAAGAGAGAGAGAGGAAGGGAGAGAAGAAATTAGAGATTTTCTTGTAAACGTCGAGGCGTTCGACGGTGTAATTGCTCGAAGAAATAAATCCTTTGCAGCTCCGTGGACGTAAGCAAATTTGTCGAACAACGTAAATCTGTGTGTCGCTCTGGTATTTTTTTTATGCGTGCAATTTTACTCGTTCCAATTTTTCGCTTTATTGCCGTCATTTTTAATAACACAACTCCTGTTTAGTTCAGCAGTATACCCATGGAGGGTTAGACTGATATGGATGAATACTCGCAAATGGGGAAACCTTTTCAGGTGTTTTGCGAGACAATGCAATTGATAGTGGGATTTAGGTGCTTATATCTACGTAGTTGAAGACCTTTCAACTCCGGGAGGTTACAACTATTCTGTCACCTTGAACATGCGTATATAAATTTTGACGAATGATGTCGAAACTACCACAACCTCAGGAGACTGACGTAGGTGCAGAGGGTGTAAAATCCTCTTCTGCGTTAGACCTGGGACAGCCGACTTGCTCTTCCAATAGGGTTTGACATTTCTTTTCGAAAGGGGGGCCACTCCTTAGTTATATAGGGTTGATTTTGTGTGTAGGTTTTTAGTATTTTTGTGTTTCTAATAGGACAAGCTTCGGCGTCTCTTGTGTTCCCTTCTAGGCTGTATCCAAGGGCGAGTTTTGCTCTCTAGAACTATCTCGTTCCAAGGTGGTGACTATCATTAAATTTCTTTTCCACACAAACTTCCCCTCATTATCGCCATCATGCCTCCCTGCTGCAGCTACCTGAGAACCCCTCTCAGGTTGTCTTGCAAGAGTCCCCTTAACCCCTACCTTCAAAGCCTAAGCCGCACTTGCTCCTGCTGCTATGTACCATGTTCCACCACCTGCAGTTCTTCCTCCCTGCCACATCCACCTGCTGCCTACTACCATCTCACGACAGCCCTTCCACATTAGTCCTTTAACCTTCCAACTACATCCCCTGCTGGCTGCTGTCATCTCATGACAGCCCACTTTCTATTTCCGTTCGTGTGTGCTGTATTTACCTAGTTTTTGAATTTAGCAATAATATTTGGCTTTTCTCTCTTTGTTTGGATCGACTCCTCTATCACAAACTTTGACCAACATGATATGAGTTTGTCAGATTGAGTTCTCAATTCCAATATCAGGCCTCAAAGTTTCTCGCATCTATTTGTATTCCACACATCAGTGCCTTCATTCGGAAAATACAATGAAAAAACTTCCTTGCCATTATAGTTAATCCTTCAGTCTTAAAACTAGTTTTTTGGGAGATGCAAAATAAATGTTAGATCGATATCAGGCTTCTTATTCTGAAGTACTATATTTATTTAGCCATGTTAAAGGTTTAATGCATCAAACCTTATACCCTTTTTATTGTTATTTAGGGACAATTACATACATAGCTCCCGAAATATTGTTATTTATAAAATCTAACAGTCAGGTGATATTTTTGAACCACCGAACCGATTTATTTATGCTTGCCACGGTCAAACCATTAAGAATTTAATAAAATGTAAAAATGTGATTTAGGGTTTTTTCATGAATTTTGATATTTGAGTGAGGATTTGAAAAATGGATGTAAGAGGATGCTAGATTTGTAAACAACCCTTTTTTATTTAAGTTTTAAATACAGTTTTAGAAAGTTGGTTGTGCTAATTTTAGAATGTTTCTTTGGAGAAATGCTAAGGGTCATTTGGGATAATTTTTGTTTATTATTTTTATTTTTAGTTTTTTATTTTGTTTTATTTATGTTTTGATTTGAAACAAAACATGTTTGGCTATTTGATTAAAGTATGTTTGTTTTTAAAAACACTCAAAACTTCTATAAATTATTTTGAGCATATTCAAAAACATGTTAATTTGTTTTTAGAAAAAAAAGAATATAGATAAAAAACACACACAACAAATATATTTTTAAAAACAAATGAAAAAAAAAAAAACAAAATTGATCCGGAATAAACCTTAGATAAATATCATTTGAATGTTGGGATTTTCATTTCTGAAATGCTTTCTTTATTGTGAGATTTTGCTGAGTGCTCCTTTTATACATTGATACTGTACCCTTTATCATTGTTTCTAAAATATCGAGTACGATTATATGCAGAGGGTGATGGCTCCAAAATATATGTCAGTTGCATTGCTTTTCGAGACCCAGTTTGTGATGATGTTAGTCTCGCATATAAGATACCAGCAAATTATTTTGCTGATAAATGCATATGCCTTGTTTCACGGTCACCTAGTTTCCGAGTCCTTAGAGATGCGCTTGAGGAGCTTTTCATTGTTTGTTTCTCTCCTAATTCTACAAGGTAAATTTATTTACTTTTTAATATCTTGTCAGTTATTAAACTTTTATGCCATATATTTTCATTTACTTTGACCACTGAGAAATTAAAGCCAAGCTTGTATGGTCGTCACATTATTAGAATATCTTTTTATAAATTTGTAAGAAAAATTAAACTTTTGATCTGAGCAAACCATGATGTTTCTTAACTAATTTAATAAGTTAAGCACTCATTATTTGGTAACCGAAAAAAAAAGTAATTGTAGCTGAGCATGATGAGATTATTATAACTTTCAATGCTGTATGATTGTTTTTTTCTTATTACAACTTTAGTATGCGATTTGATGAAAAAAATTATTTGGCTGGAATGCCAATTTGAACTGTAAAGTGGATTGGAGGATCAATATGGTTTCATTGATCTTAATTCTAATCAATTCATTAAAGAAGGGATATCTTAGAAGGTGGGTGGGAAATAAGAGGATTGAGTTTCAAATAATCTTTACTTCCTGATGGATGGTTAGTCCAAGTTAGTAGTTAAAAAGCAGAGAGCAGAGAGAGAGAGAGAGAGAGAGAGAGAGAGAGAGAGAACACCAAATAGATAGGTTTTTGAGCGATTCAACATTGTTTCCCTTGTTCATTATAAGGAAGTGATGCAGAATTTATCAAACACCCTAAAGAAAACAAATGTTATTTCTGAATTCTAAAATCTGAAATTACAACAATAGTAGGGCAATCGAAAATTGTGACAAAACAACACAACACTAGAACTAACGTTTAATTATGGGTGTAGGTGTTGCCAGGTAGAGGTTTGGACTTCCAGGAGGTGGCAAGGGGGTTGGCCAACAGGCTGGAAGATAGCTGCAGTGAGGGGAAAGTGGCGAGCAGCAGGAACAGTTGTAGGATTGCTGTTCTGAGGGGCAGCAACAAGAAAATGATAAAAGGGATGTTGGAGCGTGGTGGGAAAGGTTGGGAAATGGTATAGGAAGGATTAAAACCATTTGGAGACTAAGATACAACCGAAGCGCCACTTAAAACTTTAGGATACAACCCTACAAAGGGAAAGGAAACGCCGATGGCTGTCCCAAATCAAATCACAGAAAATTGAACCTAAACACCACAAAAAAAAAAAGAAATGTCCTTGGTAACTAGGAGTGGGCCCTCTTAAAAAGTGGCGACACTCGCAACTTTGGAGGACCAACCGGCCTTCACTAGTCTTGGACCGAACCAATCCGGCATCTGTGATGCGTTGCTTCAGGAAGTAGAGAGAATCTTTTTGATTATTTTTGGAGATGATTATGGCTTATTTTTTCAAGTTTTACTCTACTTGGGAAGGGAATTGACACAATTATGGACTGGGGTTTTTGCATCAGTTTTTTAACCTTTTTGTTATAAGTTAAGGATTGGGTATTTATAGACACATGGGAGGTTGAGGCAGTGGTGACATGGTTGGTGATTTGGGATGCTGTAATTGGCACATTCTAGTGGCTTGTCCATCATGGTTTGTGTGTAAAAGAGTCATGGTCTGCCGTTCCCTTGTGGCAAGGGTGCGATAAATAATAATTCTGATTAACTTTGCATTAGTTTATTATCAGAAGATTATAGATTTTTATATTAATAGATGAATAGATTTGTATATTAAGTATAGTAGTCAGGGAATAATTCTGTTAAATGCCATGTTTAACTATCGCAACAAAAAAAAAAAAGAAAAAAAAATTATATATATATATTCTTTTCTTTTTTCTCTTCTTTATATATATATATATATATATATAAAGATTAACTAATAATTTATGTGCAAACGTGCAAAATTACTAGGGTTAATAGCTTATTATTACTTATCATGGCTTATTATTATTTGATTAGGTTAAATTGATTTTACATCAATTTTAAAAATGGGTTTTTTGGTCATTTAACCAATATATATCATTATGACAACATTTTTGCCATGCATCTTTAGTTCTCTTAGCGCTAATATTACAACCAAATGAGATATTCTATCAGACAACCGTTATGGTTTACTTGATGACTAACCACAATAAAATACAAAATAAAACAAAATAACATGGTATTGTCATATATAGTTATTGGGTATGTTTGTGTCGTTTGCAGTTGTTTGTAAAATAGTTGTAGAGCTATTATGAGGAGCATAGCTTTTGTTGAAATATGTTGTGGGCCTTATGAACATTTTTCCTTTTTAAGAAGTTGGACAACAATTTTATAGCAGCTTGGTTGTAAAAACTTGTTTCTCATTATAAAAAATTTTGCAAAACAAGAAAGAATTAGCCAAACATAAGTGTGGCGGCTATATAAGAATTGAAGTAGTGGAAACCTATTCCTAACAAAATCTTGTGCATTTCTTGATTAAGCCCCTATCTTCTTTGACACCAATCAATCTTCATAATTACATTCATATACGTCCTTCTCTCTCTCTTTGGCGGGTGCTCTCGCTCTGCTTCCTTGCCTGTGGGCATTCCTTCCCAACGCTTTCTTCACGATCATTTTGTTTCAGCATCATAATTTTAAACAAGTCTTTTTCTCACTGAAGTGTATTTGTAGTGTTCTACCCCATGTTCAGGTCTTGTTCTTTGTGTTCTCATTCGGGTTTTGTATCTTGTCTCGAGCCTTTGAATGGGGTTTGCTTGCTTTAGTCACTTGTATAATAGCTGCTAGTGGGCTTTTTAGGGTTGCGAAATTGTGCTTTTTTTCTCTCACTGGTGACTACTTTCCCCTCTAGGTGGCTTTCTCCCCCTGCTCTAGATTTTATCTGCTTCTATTCTGGTGGCTACTAGGCAGCACTCGGTTGCTTTCACTCTTATATATCTCAACTTTTTTGCTTTGTCTTCTTCTTTAGATGATTCTAGATGGTTCCCCAAGTCTGGCCACCATTTCCTCTTTTTGTGCTAATGGCTCCTTTTGTGTAAAGACACTCCTTTAGTTGCTTACTTATCATCGACTCCTTGAGTCCTATTGCTTGTTATTTTCATTCTTTGGCAAATACTTATGGGTAGATCATCTAAATCAAGATTGCATCCCTTTGCTTCCATCCATTTTCTTTTTCATTTTCATTTAGACTTATTTCTTCTATTGTTACTTTAAAGGCAAACCAAATTTTCTTTTCTGGATATCTAAGCTTACTAGATTACTCTTTTTATTTAATATAGGCAAAATCTTGTTGGGCCACAATAATGTGGGTGTTATTCATAAACTCTTGTTCGACCTACACTTTGTTGGTATCTACTGAGCTGGGCAATTTGATCTTCATCACATAATTATAAGAATATTCTCAAATATAGAATACAATATACTCTTATCTAGATGTATCTATCACCTTGAGTAGTTTTTCCTCAAATTCACTTATATTTCTTTAACCATTCTACTACATACTTTTAAGATTTTATTTTTGACGATCCTTTGCAAGTGGATTGTACTACATTTTGTCTTTAAATGCATTCCGTTGTCAGAGTTATAGCTTCAAAACATTTTACTTGTTTGTTGGAAACGGTTTGGATATTAGAGGAACATATTATTTGAAAGCATCCTCTCAAATTACTCTTTTTGTAAAATTTTTTAGCATACTTTTTCTTAATATTTCAAGGATCATTTGGATAGTGCGAAGGATACATTTAAATGTTTAGATGATAGAAATATTATAACTAAAAAATAAAATGAGTTTTTTGAGGAAAAATACCAAGAATTTTTTGGGAAAAAATAAAAATTATTAGACGAGATAATGCTGCCATGATAGCCTGAAATTTGAAATCCTTGGAAACTTCAAAACTTTAAAAAGACTCATTTGGACCGTGTTGCTTGAAGAGTGAGAGTGATTTTTTCTTGATTTTTTCCTTTTATGGAAAATAGAATTCAAAGTATTCTTACCTCTAGAAAGTCAACACTGAGTATGCTCTTATGAATCATAAGGCTGATGCCCTATTCATCATCGTGTTTACAAATTGGAGAGAGTGAGGTGTTAATAATAATGGATCTAAGTCAATGGTGACACTTGTAAGTGTTCAAATGACCTCCATTATTGGGATAGTAAATGTAGGCACAAGAGAATTTAATTCTAAAGGAACATAAAAACTGGTTCTATGTTTGACTATAGGTTTGATCTAAAGGAGTTATCTCCAAAGTGGTAGTAGGTTGATCTAATCATTTGATTTTATCTATTGCACATAGTCCTGAGATTTTCTCGGACCTTGATGAGCCTTCTTGAAGCATCAAGAGAAATTATGCCAAAAATTTTTTCAAGATTAACAATATGTTAGGTTGCCTTCAAGTTTAACCCCGTGCTAATATCCACAAGAGAATGAACCAATCCATAGTTTCTTTTCTAAATGAGCGATAACATCTAGTTTAACTATAACTTGGGCAACGGAAGATCTTGAAAGATGGGTAGTCATATCATCTGTTTGCTTGCGAAGGTTTATTCAATAGAGAATCAACATAATATAAATAGATTGGTTGAAATTTTGTGAACGAAGCTTAGGGAATGAATATAAATTGAATAGGCGTTTTCCTACAAGATTTTAAATGAATTGACCATTTTCGCATGCACATCGAGAAGCCACTCTTATAGTAAAGTTGTCGAGAGTAAAGTCTGAAATAGTATGCTTTTGATGATAGTTTATTAATAAAATGATGACGGCTAATGAGTCCAATGGAATGGTGATCAATCAAATGTTAATCAAGTCTTAGTTTACGGATAACCTCTGTATTGGGTTGTCTAACTAGAATTCACCAACAATAAATAAATAAAGAGGTTTGGCAAGCTTAGAAATCTCTTCTTTAGTGAAGATGAGAGCTGGTTTGCCTTGATTCGTGGATGTTTTTTTATTAAATGGTGATATTGGATCTTGGTGAAAAAAAGCTGAATGGTTGCTTGTTGGAGAGGAATGAATATTGAATCATTCAACTCACCATCAATATTTGCAAAGGAACAAGAGGAGGGCAATTGTAGGACTAAGTTCCAAAGGAGAGGAAGTATGAAGAACATTCGTAAAGCAAGGAGCTACTTGGATAGGAGGTGGTGAGCTAGTTGTGGGTTTATCAAAAACGTTTGGAGCAGCCATTATAGGAGGAAGAGGAGGTGGGATCCATTTGAAAAATTGGAGGCAAAGAATGAGAAGAATTCAAATCAAAATTTGTTCTGGCACCCACAACCCCATTTGAAACCAATTGAAGTGAACATGTTAGATGTGGGGGTAAGAGCATAAATCTACAGAAAGCGAGAAAATAGTAGAAAACGACAACATGACGGCCATATGTGCAAGAGGGAATGAGAATAAAGGCCCTACTCGAACACGATTGCAGGAAAAGACAAACATAGATGCCATGAGGCATATATGTCAACTTGTGGGTGAGCGTAATGCAGATGAGCTGCATGCGAGATTGATGTTGAGACTGAGCGAGTGTGCTTGATCACGTGAGTGTGAGCTTGGTTTAGTGCAATACTGCCATTGCGGTGGATGTATGTTAGCATAGGAATTGAGCTTGGAGGCGGAGTGATGGTAGGTCGGGATGTTTCGTTCAAACAGGAGAGATTTCATTCAATGATTACTTCTCCTTTGTTGCTGGTACATGTTTGTGCTCCAAATTTGGAACTAATTATCTTTCATTTGAATTATGTGGCTATTGTTATTTTCTCTGCATGCCTTACAAAGTAATATCCACATGTTCTCTTCAATCAGGATTATGGAATTATACTCTCTGGTTTCTTGAAGTTCTTGCTTTCCTTCCTATTTTTGAGGATGTAAATGATCATGACGCGTAGCGACTTAATGATTCTGATAAAAGCATTATTAGTGATGAAATTCTGGTGGATGAGAGGTTTCCAAATCCTATTTATCTGGCAGATTGCACTTTTTTCTCTCTTATTGTCTTTCTGCATTTATAGATGCTATATCCCTTGCGCTGACATATATGTTCCTAACTTTGTTGTATTTACTTTTAAGTTACCTTAAAAATTTCCATCAGAATTACTTAAGTTGGTAAATTACAATAATGGTCTTGGTACAAATTTATAGATCAGCCTGATAAGCTGCAAGTGATTAGTAGATTAGTTGGATCTACAAATTTTATTTTTCTAAAACCTTACTACTAGCCTAAGTTTCCTTAGTTGAGATCCATATCTTCTTTTGTATAGCTTACCGCAGAACTGTGATGATATTTTGGTTACCGCAGAACTGTGATGGCATATACTGTTGCTGTTTTTCAGCTTTTTTTTTTGCCCTTGTGGTCGCATCATTAGATATGTCACTATTTAAGATATGTTTGCTAATCTAGATGTTGTTAATTTCAGTATACCACTATGGGAGGTCATAGCTCATATTGTCTCAAATGTTTCTTTACCTACACCGGGGAAGGATAGAATCTTATTTTCTATTGATAACTGCATTCTGTCTGTCGAGGCCCCACCAAAGGAAGGACTTCCTCATGCAGATGTATGACTACTTGCTTTCAGTTCTTATCATGTACTATATTTTGCATATATATATATTTAGAAATTTACATATGTAGCTTACAATTCTTATGTATTTACATATCTCACATTTAAGCTTTCATGTTTACATACATATCACTTTGGTGTTTTAATCCTATACATGAAAAGGTATGTTTCACTTTCAAAAAGTGGCAATAATGCTATTTTTGATGTGATATTTAAAGATTTGAGTGCTGTGTGTGTAAATATGAAAGTTTTAGGTGTCAGATATGTAATAAATTAGAATTTTGTGCTATGTATTTAAATGACCCCATCTTTTTTAAGATTTTGGTTTCCACCATGCTCCACTTGATTGACATCGCAGAAGTTGACAGCTTTGTAAATTTTCTCATGCACAGATTTCATTCCAGCCATTGGTGCAGTCTTTGGACGTTGACAATTTGATAATGCTATTCACTGCTGTGTTGCTTGAGAGAAGGATCCTATTACGATCGAATAAGTTATTTTCGAACTTTGCGCCTTCCACTTGTTTTATATGCAACACTTTTCAAATTCATATTTTGGTTAGCTTTATTTTTTTTGTTGATTTAACATAGCTAGTGTTCATTTTTTTTGCACCATTCGGTACTATGTTCAACTCTTTTACGAATTTTGAGAACAAAAAAATAATGCTTGAAATTTGATCATCCGCATGTTAGTAGAGCCAAAATCATTCCAAATAATTGTTTAACAGCATAATTTCCACAGCAAGAATAATCATGTAATATAAGCATGATATGCAAAGTTTTTGTGACCTTAAACAAAACACGAAGTAGAAATCTGACATCAAAGATCGACCTTGTGAATTCCCTCGTTTAAAATTTCAGTATAAGCCTCATTTGATAATTCCCCCTTTGGTTTCAAAAAATCCAACATCACAATTATGATTTGTGCTTGGAAAATAAGAAATGAAGCACAATTTTGCTTGTTCACAGTTCACCTTCTCTCTGGCTTTATGACTATGAAATTCATTTGTGGAGCAACTTGTTCATCTTTGTGAGAGTAGTTATGATTTGAAAAATGACATCATCATGTAGCTTGTGATATTAAAGATGATTTTAGTTCATATTAAAAACATCTTCATCACCTAAGGATCTAAACCAATTCTTTGTCAATCATTTTGCAGAACTTTGTGCATGTAAACTTAGGTTTGCTTTGTTTGCTTCTTAATTGACACTTTTTTCCTTCAATTTATCTAATTGGCGTATTTTTTACACCAGTTATTCGAATCATCTAAATATATTTTCATTTTTTTTGCCTTGAACAAATAAATATCCCTCAACCATGCTATTAATATAATCATTTATAAATTTAATTATCCTAATTTTACCACACAGAAATGTCAACATTTTTATTTCTACAACTCTCAACTTAGATGTCTAGTATTTAATCATTGCTTAACTTCTAGATTCATGCATCTTCACACTACGTGTAACTTTTGTAAAATTTATTTTTAAATCTCTATGATATATTCTCTTATCACATAAAAATCTTGTGCCACTTCTCCATTTTAACTTTTCAAACTTAGCTTTTTTAGTTTTATCATCATTAATATTTCATTCTTTTGCATAAGATATTTAAGCCTATGCATTTGGATATCCCCTTATCTTTTAAATATAGCGTTTGATAGTTTTTATTGTTAATCTCAAAGGTTTCATTTGGAATGATTGCTGTTTGAAAAGCCAGTTAAAAAGACGTTGCTTGAAAAATAGGTGAGAAGCGGTTGATGAAAAGTTGTTTTTTCTTTGTATAATCTTTGATTGAGTTATTGTTTGAAACTTAATTGTTTTTACTTGTTTTATTAGCATTTTTATTTATTATGAAACCAAAATTTGTCCAAAGTGCCTTTAATTAGATACAAGTTCCAGTATTTGGATAAACATTATACAAATCTGTGAATTCAATGATTTTTACCAAAATAATAGAGATCTGATATGATGATATAGATGCCCATTAAAACATGGCAAGAAGCTTTGCAAGATTTGTAAAACAGTTAAAACATTCATCAAACGCTTAAGGTTGTTTAACTATTTGCAAATGTATCCATCAAACAACATTCAAGTATAAAGATGATAACACAAGCAGAGGAGATGCAACTAAAGCAATTCCTCTATTAATACCACCACACTAACTATTTTTTCTTGCATGTTTGAGGTGCTGAGGGGCTAGCGTCTTGGAGAGATTGAGTTGAGAAGCTATGTGAAAGAGCTTCTTAAAAGTGTAAAACAAGTTCCTGTACTTCAAAACCTGTGGGTTTATATGTACTTGGAAGCAGCTAAATTTAGTGTTTTGAGTGAGTTTGTTTTTTTCATCATGTAAATTATTTAAAAAAAGAGTGGTTTTAAGTTTTACGATTGGATTGGGTAAAGCACTCAAAAAAGTTTGATTCAAACACAATCTATAAACATCATAAACTTAATGTGCTAATTTTAAGGCTTCTATATTTGAAATATTTTCTCTATTACGGATTTAGATAATTCATCATTAATTAGAATTACATCATTCATAAAAGCATATACCATGGCATGCCAATTTGAATATCTTTTTTAATTATCTCTATAATAGTATGAAAGATATGGACTTCAATTGATATTTGATTTAACCTATTGAAATTGAAAACTCTTTGACTACTCCGTAATTACTTCTACTTGGAGTTAATGCTCCAACATACATATTTCTACTACGTCAATATACCTTCAATACATTCTCTTCTACTAATCAATTCTTATGGTACTTGATCATATGAACTTCTCAAGCTTGATAAAAATCGTATGAAGTTTTTAATTCTCTCTAATCTTCTCCATTAATTGTTTTAATATAAAAATTGGTTATTTAGAGTTGTCGTAATTATTCTATGCCTATGTTCCATTACTTTATGCTAGGAACTAGAACATAGATTTGTTTGATTCTTTTATAGCAAGCAAAACTCAAATAGGTTTATTCTTAAATATTTGTACCAAATATGCTTTTACAATCTTTTGAAATCTCGTCTTCGAAATGCTTTTTCTGAAAATTATCAAATGCATTATATTAGTTAATAATTCTTAAGTCATTATAAAGTTCAAATCAAACATCCTTTTAAATTTTTTTCTTTGCCTCTTTTTTCTCTTTCAATTAATTGGATAAAGTTTACTTTATATAAAAAGGACTTTTAAAAGGATAGATGCAATGTATGGCAGGTCTTAGAACTTTTTAAGTCTAGATAAATATCATTCTTGAACTTTTATTGGAATACAAAATTTCAAAAAAGCACGGGCTTAATGTGCAAACATGTTAACCCTGACACGGACTGTCCTTGGCTGAATTGGCCTAGTGTCTGAGCCAGTTCAACTAGGATTAGTTTAGGCCCGACCGACTATATGTATTGGTGCTATCGCCCAATAAGGAGGGGGGCCCACCTATCCTAGCTATCTATTAGTATTTATATGTGTTTTGTGTCTTAGGGTTTCAAGTTTTGTTGATTTTGGGTTCAGTTTCCTGTGAGGAGAGAGTCAGGCATCTTGTTTTCCCCTTCGAGGGTTGTATCCGATGGACTGGGTGCTGCTTCGGCTACATCCCTCTCCTCCGGTTATGATTATGTTCTCCGACTTTCACATCCACCTTCACTCCTTGCGTTCTGCTGGTTTTCCAACAGCCTCTCCTTTTGCCTCAGTCCGTAGCCCCTCTTCTTCCCTTCCTGGAATTTTGCCAACCTACCATTGCCTTTTTTACCTCCACCATAAGCCATCCTCTTGCCGTAACTCGCTTTATACTCAATCCTCCAGACGTAACTTCCCCTTTAGCGTATTCCTTCTGCTGTGCCCCTTCCTCAGCCACCTCCAGCCCACTTTCCAGCTCCTGCCACCCTTCCCCGGCTGCATACTCCTGTTATCAGCTGCCTCCAGCCCACTTTCCAGCTACTGCCACCCTTTCCAGGCACATACTCTTGTTATCCAGTCTTCCAAGCCTGTTGGCCAGCCTCCCAACCTATGTCCAGCCTTCCAACCTATGTCCAGCCTTCCAACCCTTGGTCTAGCCCCTCAAACCTGCTGTCCAACCTCCCAGTACCTGCTTTTCAGCTTATTGGTACCTGCTTTCCAGCCTTCCCGCCATCCACCTGCACTTCCCCCAACCTTCCAAACTACCATCCAGTGCTCAACTCTACCCCCTTTTCCTCTTGCCACCTTGATGACACCACCGCCGCCCTCGGATCTTCTCTTCTGGTCCTAGCCAGAGATTGCGTTGTTATTATATTTCCCTTTTCCGTTTATGTCGTGTTGTAACCTTAATTCAGTGCTAATAAAAGTTTATGTTTATTTCTGCTGATTTCCTAACTAGTTCTGGTGTCAAACTGACTGAGACGACAACACATGGAAATCTTGAATGACCCATGCCTGAGAAAATGTTAGCTTATAAACATTGAGAAAAATCTCATCTTATCAGAGGTCTTGATAAATTGCTTCTCAGTATATTACTAGGCATGTATATGTTTTGATCCATTTGTACCTAAAAATAGAATGAAAATAAGGTGAAAGTGCAATAACAAGTAAAGGGAGTTCCCATAAGTAAAGATTGCGATCAACTTACTAATCTTTACGTAAAAATCAATCAGGTCATTTGATTTGTTTTAAAATCATTCTGACCATGAGCATTACTTGCTACCAAATTTTTTAAAATGTATAATTTTTTGTGTGCACTGATAATTGTCGCTATTCTTTTTTCTTCAATTTTCAACTACTGGCAATTTTCATTTTTGTTATTGCCGGGAGGTTCACAGGCTTTGAAGAATGAAGCCATAATTGGTTTATATCTTACCCACTATGGATTGACTTTCTGCTAGAAAAAATATGACCATTCTCAATCAGGCTAGAGGTTTAGGATCTAAAAGCTGCGGACAAATTTTGACCCCATTTTCTATCTTTCTAGTTTGTAGCAAGCACACCCAGAGCACTTCATATTGTTGTTATAAGTAGATATTGTTTATAGTTAAACTGAAATTGTTTATATCTTAGTGCGCTGGGTATTTAACATCCAAAAAACTGCACACCTCCTAATTTTTTATTTCTTATTGTTCAATGCTTGTATTTGTAAAATCATGCCCACAATGCTTGTACAATATCATGTTTTGGCGCTGAGGTTTTTTTACAAATCAACAATTTTTTTTTTGGCTCATGGGGACTGATTTTCTTATCCACAACCAATCGGGCTTGATATGTGCATTCTTCATTCGCTTGCGTGTCCACCCGCACTCTTCTTGCATGTGTATCGTTTGCCCCGTGTGTCTCCAACAAGTTTTATTTGCACATTCACTAGTGAGCGCCGCTTGCGATGCTTCAAATCATTCTGGCATTAGCACGAGGCATTTTTTTTTTACGTTCAATTTTTTGTGTCTGTCAATCTTGATGCGCCATTTGGTGCTACCATGATTTGTTGCTCAAGTTTTCTGCCCATTGTTGGCATCAATGTTTCTTGCGCTCTCAA